CACTGTATGTCACAAGTACGGTAGCAAGCAGAACAATGTGATGTACAAATTGCCACAATCACTACACATCTCAGCCTGTGGAGAAGGAGCTACATGTAATCTCAATTTCAGGACAGGGATGTATAGGATTTCACAGCTTTCTCTGGGGAGAAAATATCAGGACCCCATAAGGGGAAATGTGAAAAAAGTGTATGCTCAAGTTATTCAAAAGGAGGTTTTTAAACATCTACATAGTAGGTCAGAAACTGGAATGCACATATCAGTTGAACGACATTCTTCTCTTCAGTAGAACACTGAACACTTACATACATTATTTTCAAAATAGTTCAAGGGAATAATAAAGGGTTTGGTACAGAATTGCTGGAACTAAATGCTGTCATTTACCGGTGTAACCATCATACAAATCTCACCACCCAACAAAATGAAAAATCTGGAGTTCAGACTCAAAGAAACAGAAAGGAAATTGTGTAGAAAATGCGTGAGCTGTGGAGATTTTCTTCTGAGTGCTTAAACACAAATAACTGAGAGATCTGAGGCTTGCAATGACAGAACATTGTGCTCAAAGGTGATGCATTTAAATTAGGAAGATTCTTTGGTTTCACCTGGCTATCAGTATGATTTTAGTGTCTGTTTCATATTACATTAGGTCTAATCTTTCCTTGGCATGAATAACCAGGCAGTATTTACACAGCTTAAAGCACTCTACCAAAAACATCTAACTGTGGGACGCAAATAAATGGCATTACAATTGCAAGAAATCCAAGAAAGGAAGACAGCAAAACTCATGAGGGATTTGTGCAACTAGACCAAACACATAATAGAAACAAGTGTGTGTAATTAAAGCACAGTCACAAAGGAAATCAAAGACAGAATAGAATCTTCTCTATAATTGCTAAGTATTAGACTAGTAAAGACCTTTTCCATTTGTCTACACGTTGACAGAATGTTTACAAATATAATCTAAAACCAGAAACTAATTACATGTTTGTTACAGCTGCAGCAAGCATATAAAAATAAAATAAAATTGGCACGCCAATGACTGAGCCAGGAGAAAGATGGTTGACTATGCTGTACCTGTTGGGACTCGGCTAGACTTCAGCCTAGGCTAGACTTCAGCCCACAGAGCAGTCCTTAGATCATCAAATAGTCATTAAGATAACCGTAACTATAGCTTTTTAGATTTAGACATGTAGATCCTGAGCCTGAAATCTTTACTCGGGCAATACTTTATAATGCAGTACAATTGTTATGGTAAATAAATGGAAACACTGCTGAACTCAATGGAAACACTCCCACTTGCTCACTACAGACAGGATTGCACCCTGTGGGTCTATGTGGGACTGTGCTACTCCAGTGGAACTGCAGTGCAAAAGAGCTGCTAAAAGCTCTCCTTGGCCAGCTGTAATTCAGTTTTGATCCTGCTTGTACACCAGGGCAGATGCACAGTTTTGAAGTCTGAGAAAAGGAACCAGTTCTCTTATTTACAAGAGTGGAAATCCAAAGTGGTATCAGCAGAGCATAAGTCCACAAATTCTGGCCAAACCTTTTAATTTGAGAAAGAAATAAAATCTTTAGACTACAAAACCAATAAAATATGAAAAGATCTGAATATGATAGAAAACCCAGAAACCATGCTCCGCTGTCATCTTAGGACACAATCCAGCAAGGCACTTAGATATGTGCTTAGCTTTAAGCATGGAATCAATCCTACTGAAGTTAAGCTTTGCTGGATATGGGCTATCTTCTTCTGAGTTATATTACTTTTCAGTGTTAGTATGCTGGCAATCTTCAGATCACAGTAACAGTTTTCCCTCTCACATCCACCAGCTTTCTTTTCACTCTTGAGCTGAACATTAACTTACACAACATTGTGACATACATTCCAAACTCAGCCAGCTAACTTTTGCAATGGTTAGTACAACAAAACAGCTACAAAGTTTCACAGACACAATCTGAACAGCTGCAATATAGAACTGTACTAATTGCAGAGAGCCAGAAACAAATCACTCCTTTTTTTGATTGGAAAATGGCAAAATTTGTAGTAGTTTCCTGACCACATGAGCAAATTTTTTTTTTTTTTGTATATATACGTGAAAGGCACTAGTCTGCTACTACTCAGAGATAGCCTCCTGAATTACTGATACATTCAGATGTGGGTTTATCTGACGTACAACAATTTGTCAATCAGATCTTTCTTGGGCCATTCAGTTTATCTGCATGGCTTCATCTATAACTGCCGTTTTTATTTATTTTAGCATAGGGACTCTTTAAACTACTTCATATGAGTATGCGTCATCAAGGCCCTAATGCAGCATCTAATAATTCTTTGGCAAACAATACATCCCTGGTCATGTGTTGGTGTCAGAGGAGAATTCTACTAATGTTATTTATAATGATAAGCATGGCATGATACCCATCTCATAGCAGAAGATGCGTATGAGACCACCTCATGAAATGCAGCATCAGAATTCAATACGAATTGTCCTGAAGTGGGTCTATGTTTTAGGAAGGGCTATAGATGACAGGACCGGCCATGCGATTTAAGGTCAGTATTACCTTCTGAGACTCTCTCTTGCTACAACAGAACACTCTGGTTTTCTGGAGCAGGTGATACTCAATTTAGGCAGAATAATTCTATATGATGTCTGAAGGATTCATGGCATTAGCAAACACAATTTCATGCATATTTGGGCATATTTGCTACAGAACAAATTGGTGCCCGTAGTCCTCTAAAGTTGCCTGCCTCAGAAATATGAAGGTACAGTACAATTTGCTAGGTCTGGCACTGTAAACATTGATGCCCTCATCACTGTCAACTCAGCTGATGACTAGGCATTCAAAACTAGATTTTGGAACTACTCTTCTGAAGTGTAAAGACGTCTGAGCTGCCTGAACTGTGCACAGAAGAACAAATGTTTGCTTGGGGACAGCTAGTTCCCCAAGCCCACCCAACAGCAGAACATAGGAAAAAACCATTTACTCAGCCTCTCTCTCTGCTCCTTTCAGCCCCATATCTAAGCCATCACAAGATTTTCAGCAGCAAACTGTCCTTCTGAAAGATAGTAGGGAAGAGAGCAAGACTAGAGAGGGATGCTCCTACAGTGGCGCAGCAGTATGCTGCATTTTCACAGCCTTTCTGCAACAGAAGACTCATAAATATGAACATGAATTCCATCTCCTCAGCTTTACACAGCAGCAAAAATGTCTTGAATGCCTGGAAATGGGGTCGCTGGCATACTTGAGATCAAATGTTTTTACTGTCATGCTTGCCTATTCAATAAAGCATTTTAATAATGCTGTATTTGTTGCCATCTTTAGGACTGGCTAGTTTAACTACATAACTACTTAATTAAGATGAATAAGCCTAAACGGATACCAATACTGACATTTGTAACAAAGTGTAAAGCAAATAACAAAATGTTGCTCTTTTTTCCTTAGGATTACATTGAAAGGATCCAATTCCTAAAAAAACTCAACAGCAGAATACACGCCTTAATTTGTACCAAAATAATTTTAAAAATAACCTTAATTGTAAACATATTGCCTGGTGTAAACAGTATTCTGCATGTGAGCTGGCTAAACAGAATTATTTGCCATATATGTCAAAATAAGGAAATTTCTGATTTAGTGCTTATTTGCTAAGGTTTTACAGTATGTTCTCATTGACACAATAATGGGATTTTTTATATATAGTCTTAAGTGCAAAATATTAATATATTTAAAAATGCATCAACTGTTAGTTGGTAGATTTGTTTTGGTTTATAAACGTTAAAAAATTAAAAAAATCTATGTATAAAGTTAACTGTGCTTCTTTAGAAACTTTATGTGATCATTCACATACATCTTTAAAATATTTTAAGTTTAGTAGCAATTCAAAATACGCTGTCTCAGTGATTTGCAATCATATGACTGCTACAATGTGGAATGTTACCCATTATTTTTAATACTCTGGGCCAGATCTTGTTGTCAATTACATCTAGAGTATTTCCTTATATTGGATTTATGCTGGTGGAAAGGATATCAAAACTTGGCTTCTACTGGGGGTTAAAAAGAAGTATATCATGCTTCAAAACTTGCACGCAATCAAATCAAGGACCATATTCTCTTGACAGACTTGCTTTTGTCTAGGTGTTTCTTATCTGCACTGCTCAGTGTCAGACACTCATCTTCATTAAGCTTCTGGGAATAAATAAAAAATGGAGAAGAATACACCAGCTTCTTGACTGATGAAATAAGCTTCTTCCCCCCACCAATCAAATCAAATCATAATCAGGGTGGGTTTTGTTGTCAGAAAGTCTGGATTGTATTCAGATACTACTCTCAGCTGATAACAATAACTGATAGTTACTGAGCACCCAGTTATATTTTATTTGTTTAGTTTCTTCTAAATTTACACAATGGGCTTACAAGGGCCAATGCAAAGTTTTTCTTGTGGTGTAATATTCCACAAATGTTAGTTTATATTTATGTATACAGCATTCCTTATTAATGGTAAAACATATTTTTCAAGTATGAATTTCTGCATGTAATTCTCTTCTTCAGTATGCAGATACTCTGACTTCTAGTGTGCATCATCACAAGTGATACAACATACAACCACTTCCTCTTCTTTCTCTGCCACATTGTTCATGTTCATTGAAAAGAGAGATAAATACTCAACACTGCCATCAAAAACTGTCAGTGCAGTTCCTCTATAAGCAGAGCACTTGAAGGGGGAAATGATGTCCTCAACAGTGCATGCCATGATATGTGCCTTGGACTTTCTGGTCCTGTAGCTGAGATATTTTGACTGAGCCAAGAAAAGTTCTGAACTTGCCTCTTATCCTTCCATGGAAAGTAAATGTCAAAAACATAAGAACTGTAAAGATTTTTCTCCCATCCTCTTGCTAACCATGGTGGTGGTAGTTGATTGTCTGCAAAAGGAGAATGAAAACCACAACAGAATGTCCCAGAAATGGGTCATTTTAGAGTTCTGCGTAAGATCCACACAGCTTTATGACTGAGCAGCAATATCCAAAGAGGAGAAAAATGCTTTGGTTGCCTTGAGTTAGCATGTTAAAAGAAAGGTATGCTTTCCTTGACACAGGTAAAAGTGCTTGTTAGCTGATGAAGCAGGAACCACACTCAAATTACTGATGGAAAGAAGGTAGAAATGTGAAATGCCTCCTGTCATTTACAGCATATGTAATCAGAAGAATTTCAGTCTGTCTTCTTGTTGTGGTTTAAAGTTCTTCTCGGCACATAGGGAAGTTGACAAAGGTGAAGACATTAAACTCTATCAATATAGAGAAACACAGGAAAACAGCATAAAGAAACAACACGTAGATGCCTAATTTCCTGTCAAGTTTCCACTTATTTACATGGATTCCAAACACCTGCAAGCAAACAAAGTGTTAATTAATTAAGCCCCAAAGGAGACTTTTGGAAACAACCATTATAAGCTAAAAATGAGAATCTTTTGAATTAGAGATCCTGAATGAAGATAAAAATATATTCTGATCTATTTTATAGATCAAAAAGGCAACATATGTTTTTCTGATCAAGAAAAGGAATATAAAAGCCCAAACTAAGAACTCAAACTCTGGTCTGACTCTCAGTTGTCCTAAGATCTTTTTACAAAATATTAAATGAACCCGCTGTAAGGCCCCTTCACAAGTTCTTCATGTAACTGAAAAACAGGCCCCTGGGTGCTCAGTTGCAGTCTGTGCTGCATTTTCAGTACATGGGGCACATTCTAGTCAAGCAGCACTCATTCATTGATTCAGTATGAACTAAATGAATTCACTGAACTACATGAATGCCTCTCCCTCCAGTGTTCCCCTACAAATCCTTTATGTCCCAGTAGTACACCAGCACCTAATGTTTATTCTTTCAACAGCTTCAGAAAAGGTGCTTTCTTTGATGTTTTGCTCAGCTCCAGAACTAAGGGGAGTTACAAGTTACAGGTAGCAAACCAATTAAATCCTTATGAAGGCATCTATTTTCAGTGGTGTTGAGCGCCTCTGAATTATTATTTGTTTTGCTCAAAACTCTCCACTGAGTTTTGCTGGGGGGGGCGGGTCTGTGCAAATCAGGGTATCCAGCAGAACAAATGAGACAATAATAGATGCCTCGAACTCAGGTGATATGGCTTCTGCTATGAAAAGACTCTTTTCAGAAAAGCATGAACAGCTAGCATAGTAACACATCCGCATAATCCTCCCATTTTTTTCCAAAGTGCTGATTACCAATATGCATGCAGCAACATCAGATACAAATCTCTGCAGAACATCTTTGTTGTTTCACAGGCACTGCAGTATGGCAGAACGGGGGATAAAGAAAAGAACAGGCTCCCACAGCTTATATACCAGATGCATTCGGCAGTTAGTGGCAGAGTGAACAGCCCTGGTCATTCTATCACTTAAGTCATGCACAGGTGATGTGGAGTTTTGTAAGACCTAGTCATGCAACAGTGTGAAATCTCCAGTGATGATCACCTCCTGTACAGAGCCTCTACAGACCCTCCACAGGCAATCAGTGAAAGACGTTAGTATAAGTGGATAGTTTTATACCTTTGAGATTTGATTCTTCCCACAGAGGGTTCCCTGGGAGTCAGCAGGATCAGACCTTAAGTACCAGCAAAATTGACTTTTGAAACAGAATTATTGTTTAATCTTAACAAGTCATGTGTTACAAGGGTAAGGGTAAGGGTCTTATGCTGAGTGACATTTAGCACGCCTATTCAAAGTCCTGAGGTTCACAGTCCTCACAGACTATTCTTCATCAAGGGTTTTGGCTACAGCACTTGATTAGTCCAGGCTGGTTTTGGAAATCAGAGACAAGGGCAAAGGGTGATGAAGCATACCTGTGCCTTGTCCCAACATAAAGTAGAGACAGGCCTGCGGTATGCAGCTGGAGACAGGAGCACAGAAGTATTATTAGATTGCACAATTTCAACACTGCCACTGAAATCAATGGGACCTACATGTATGCAGCATCTCTTGCACCAAATGTCAGATTTCAGTCCTCACTGAGGACAATGGTAGCTCTTCAACTCAAGGTATTGCTAGAAGAATCAATGCTTCGGGGATAGTAAGTACTTCCATTTTGTCCTTCTATAATATGTAAATACCTAATAAGTATTTTGCAACTGGAATACTTGGAGACACTCAAATACTTACAGTAAGTGCCACTGATCCTAGCAAAAGTGCAACTGAATAGACCAGTCCTTTGCTGTTTATCTTAACCTGTGGGAATTAGACAGAGAAGAGACCTTTAAAATGCTCAGCATATAACAACTGTGCTTTGGAGATCAGAAATCAATTTACTGATTTATGGCCCACCTTCTGTTTTGAATAGTGACTGACTTATACATATTAAACTATGCAAATCCATGACAGACTTATCATAATGAAGAACGGGAAGATTAAGGAATCAAAACAAATGTATAAGTAATCCCACTTCCATAAAAGAAAAAATCAGCATTTATAATGGATTTTACATTAAAAGATCTTCAGGAGAGAGAGATACGCTGTTATTCTCATCTTACAGACAAAAACACTAAGGTACAGGGAGACAGGTGTGCTTGAAGGTGTGTAATGAGAAAAGGACAGAGCCATGAACAGATATCCATGGCGCTATTTTTCTACTATACGGTATAATGTACTCCAGTTGACAAACTGGAATTAATTGCAGCTTGTGGAAGGGGAATTGCTTCCTCAACTCCTGGTTCCTTGGCAAAGAAATAACACCTTATTTTGCAACCAATAACATGCTCAGCAGGTTGTTGGTTTTTTTTTTAATTTTATTTGCATGCTTTCTTCTTAGGATTTTTTTTCAAATAGACAAAAAGAACAAATTAAAGATTTGCCAAGTATACATACAGTTGATCCACAATCAATCGCCATGGTCTGCAAACCCCATGGAATGCCAAGGCCCACCAGAATGTCAAAGACATTGCTCCCTATTGTGTTGGATACTGCCATGTCACCGAGGCCTGCAGAGAAAAAAAAAAACACCTCTTGGGTAAAAACAAAGTATAGGACCATTATTCTGTGTACTAGAGGAAACTAAAAGGGAATGATCTGCATTGATCCAAGTCCCCTTGGACTGGCCAGAGTATCTGAGGTAGGGAGACAATTTCCATAATCTTCGCATGACTTCTGAAAAAAGTGCAAAAATTGCTCACTCCAACTACATCTTCCTTGTGTCTTGGAGAGCCTTTACTGGGTGTGTGGCATCCATTCAGCATCCAAGTTCAATGCCAATTATAAAAAAAAAGTCTTATTCTAAGTAGTGTGCAGCCAGACTTAGAACCTCCAGGTTCTAAGATTATGGAGATTATGTACTGGATTTAGTATGTGGACACGTGGCCTTTATCTCATGTGAATGATGAAAAGTGATCCTGAAAAGAACCCAACCAGATGCTTAATCAGCAATGATTTCACTTCAGGAACAATAAAATGCTACAGGAAAGGAAAAAAAGAGTGAATGGTGGTGAAGTTCCCTAGGCATTACTCAAAATCTACTCAATGCTCATCACTGGCTGGCATCTCATTCTGCACCAGTGTCAATGGATGTAAGGAAGGCAGAATTCTTCTCTGCCTCTGCTGATTTCCCTTAGGCACTGGCCTAACTATTGAATCACTTCCACAAAGTGAATACTGGAAAGGAAGAGGAACTCTGATGTAAATGGGAAATGTACCACAAATACTTTGAGAATAGAGAGAGTGGAGACAGACACTATCACACCATAAGTACAGCATCTTCTTGCAGGAAGCTGCTGAGAGAAAGGTTATGCTTTGGATCCATATTATGGTAGTGTCCGTATCTACTTTTTAGATATTTGTCTGCAATTTGTCAAGAAACATCTCTCTCGAATCCAAGTGGTGTAAAGTCCCTGTATTGTCTTTGAGAAAATGGGGCTGCATTCTGCCAAGCTAGTGCTTACCTTCACTGTCAGAGGAAACAATCCCTACAGTAGTTTTGCCTAATACTAAAGAACTAATCTAAAGCAGCAGTCTATTCATTTAAAAATGTAACATGTTTTCCTTCTGTTCTTGCAAAAATCTCTTCACTTTAATACTACATATGGAAAACTAATTTAGTAGGAAGATGGTTCCATAAGAATCCTGAATACTTTTTTGTACTGCTTTTTGTGAGATTTTCCTGCACACAACACATAATACAACCTGGAAAATGAAGTATTTTAAATATATAATTCTTTTCAATCAAGCGACATTTAACAGCACTACTCCTATCTCAGACTATAAAGGTGGGGCTTTTGAGTACTTAATTTATCACTTCAGAACCCTTGTTGTTTGCCCAATGATGTGTGCTGGAGATCTCATTATCTGGGAAAAAAAGACTATAGGATTTGGAATAGTGGGAAAGAATACAATTAGGATCTTTTCTTATTCTACTGCAGTACAGGAGATCACACTGTCAGGTTTAATGTTTTTCAACAACAGGAAGGGATGTGGCTACAGGTATTTCTCAAGTAAAAAAGGAAATGTAAAGAACCTTAATCAAAACTTAAAGATATATGAGAAAGCCTTTGACAATTTCAATTGGAAAGCTGATGAGGACATAGCTGACATTTATCTAAAACCCTTTCCAGTGCGGCTATTCATACGTCCCAATGGGAAAGAGCTCTGCATTTGGATGAGAAGTATGCCTGGAGCAACACCACTTCTGCCAGATCCTCTTAAACCACTTCACTTCCCTGGGTTTGAGAGGTCGTCTAGAAATCAGTACAGGTTTTACATGGACAAGTGCTGGTCAGAATATAGTCTTCGATGTAGTTTTTAATAGCTGATATTCCAGTTTTGCCTACTACTTTTATCTTTTTACCCTGACGGATCCATACCATGCATGGGATATCTGAGTGTTGAATGACCTTCTAGAATGCTAGGGTGTGCCCAGTCCCAATAAGCAAAAGATAGCAGAACAGGGATTATTTTTTTGGTTCACAATAATTAGCAAAGTGTTTTGGCTTTTAATGAGGCCCTGAAACAGTGAAAATAAAAGAAAAAAAGAATAAAATTGCATTGAGAATTTGTGTGTGTGGAGGAAGCAAATCACAGAGCATGTATGTAAGATTGCAGTTATGCTTCAGCAGACACAGTACCTTGTCTTGCTACTATTAAGCTGGCCATGCAGTCTGGGACGCTTGTTCCTGCAGCTAGGAAAGTAATGCCCATGATCACATCTGGTATCCCAAGGGTGTATCCAATCACAGTCACCTAAACAGTGAGAAAAATAGATTAACCTATCATATTTGGAAAGTCTCCTCATTCCAATACAGTTGTCTCATACTCGTAACTTTGATGTCTGGTGTGGACCCTGACAGGATTAGACTCAGGATACTTATCCATTTCTGCAAATTAAATAATTGTGGAATAACCAGCTTAAAACCAACCTTGTGAAAAGGAAAAGTACTTTGGGTCATATTAGTCAACATTTATGAGCAAACAAAAATCTCCATTTTTTGTACTTCTAACAGGACATACTGATCTTTTAAGGAGGAGCACAGACATAATCCAACCTGTGGGTTTTTTTTTATTATTCCCAAGAATGGCAAGATTCTCGCTGGTTCTGTTCTCAAAAGGACTGCAACCAATTTATATTGTGATATAGGGGCAGAGATATAAAGAACTTATTTTATCCCAACACATGAAGAAGGAACCAGTTTTTTGCATGACTTCTGATATAATCCCAAAGTAAGCAAGTCTGGTTATATTGTCCCCTGAGAGTTCAGATGCAGCTTTAAAAGAGCTTAGGGAATTGCTGAAGCTTGTAGCAGAGCTCTTGGAAAGGACCGGGAACTGTATTTTGCTGGAACATCTGAAGAAGGCTGAAAAAGCATCAAGAAAAAAGGCTGAACAGGCAGCTGAAAAGGAAATAGCCTTGTGCGAGTGAGAAGACTGAATCAGGGACAGGCAGCTGCTTCCCTGCTGAGGGTGGAAGTCTTTAAGGCTCTGTCCTGTTTTCTTGAAATAGTTTGCCAGTCTCTTACATGAGGAAAACTGGACCCTACGCCAAAGAAAAGGTGTATGTTAGGAACTTGCCCACAGACCTTATTCTCAGGGGCAAGCTGTGACTCAGAAATAGGAGTGGGCATGATTCTCCTGCTGCAAGTGGTAACGGGGTATTAAGGTCTGGCTACCTCTTAAAATAAGCTGTGTTGCAGCCTTCATATGCACATCTCTAATTTGTGAAGGGAATATCTACAAATGGAACCAGGGTACAGAGCGTGGCCTTGCAAAGGACATACAGTATGAAATGAATGTGTGGCTTTGGCACCATTATGCCAGGCAGAATGAGTGGCTGGGATATGAGTTTCTCCAACACAGTTTACGTTAAGAGAAAAGAGGATTACTTTACAATGCAGAACTTATATAGAAAGTTGCAAAAAGTATATAGAAAACACAATCTTCCATGAGAGAAAATATAAATATAAAGCAGTTCTCAAATGCCTGACACATTTGAGGAAGGTAGAGCTGTTCTCCACCCAAAAAAGATTTTGCAGGTAAGAAGCTCATGAACAAAAATTCTTCCATATGCATGACTAGAAGAGTGTGTATACATATACACATACGTGACTATGAATCTATATATGTAAGACTATATATATTCCAGTATGAAACTAGCTGAAGGTTTCTTCACCATATTTTCCTTTAAAAGGAAAAACGGGCATATAAATTCTTCAGCAGCACATCTTACCAATCTTTCAGTTATAGGCATATACAACTTTTTGGTTTTCCATCTTTTAGTGTAGAAAAAGGTAACTTTCTATACTTCACAAGTATGGCTAATTTTTCCATCATAGAAACTATTTGAGGAGCTTTCCTATTCATGCCTCTTCTCTGACTGGAAATGTAAACTTGAGAAACTGAAAGAGGATAAGAAAGAAAAAGTAGGAACTTATTCAAATCTTCTTAAGTAAGCGTGCTCCTGAACTGACAACAATTTACAGATCTACACCTGATACACTGCTTCTCACAGATCTAGGGCAAATGGAAACACACCAGCAATCATAATACTCTTCACTAAGACGGATTTTCTTGCATTATTGCAGTCTACTCGAGGTGTTTTACACCACTTCCAAGTCTTCAAATTTTGTCACCCATCTGCCTTTTTTGCATGTTTCAGCATCAGACCCTGTAGCCAAATTTCTAAAGGTGTCTCAGCTGCTTAGAGTTAAATGTTTTCATTTAAACTCCCTTTTACTAGTAGGATGTGGATGTCCACATTCTCTTGAAAATCAAGCTCGAACCTTCCTGTACTGTATTGGGCCCTATACAGTAAAGGCCCAATTATTTGTCCAGAAAAGAGCGGCAGAAAGCTAGAATTATAATAATTAGAGTATGAGCTGAAGAGACCGCACTACAATTACATGCCTTTCTTTAACTAATACACAAAAGATCTATTACCTGTTTTGAGAGTCACATTTCACTTAGTATGGGAAGTCCTGCTACATGCACTTACCATCCACACCATGAAGTAAGAGAACAAGGCAATCCAGAGAGTGGATAAGATGAATGTCACCATAAAACAGTTCTCCCAGCGTGGTTTGCTGCAGTTTGGAATGGTGCAAAAGAGCACGAATATCAACGGCCATGTTAAAATCCATTTAATTTTGTTCATTTTTCCATCTGCAGGACAAAGAAAGGAAAGAACCAGTTTAGCTTTCCCATCACTATCCCAGGCCCAGTTATACCTCCTGGAACACAGCAGATGATTCCAGAAGGATGTTTACAACTGTGCATGTCAGCTCATTTTCCAGTGTACCTTTCATCTATACTTGCTCTTGTCACTCTCAGCCAAGTTCTGCTTGCACATCCAGAATCTTATAGTTAAGCCTGCCAAGGTCTATGTAAATCCATGAAAGAATTACAATGATTTAAAAGCATGGCTGCTTTTAAAACCAAAATTAACGGTCAGGTTTGTTGCTCTTTCAAATATCTGTATTACTATTAATCAAAAAAAAAAAAACAAAACCAAAACCAAACAACCAAAAAACCCCACCCCCCTCACTTTTTAAAAAGGAAGATGGAAATCCTTGTAGTGAAAATAACCTGTACCTTCTGTGCAGCAACAGAAAATACTTTCACAGAAAACAGAAGCACAGACCCAACCTATGAACATGACAAGCTTGTTTCACATGCCTCACTGCAGTCAATTGGGCAAAACTTTAAACTGTTACTTAGGAGATCTAGACTTGTTAACTCTCTCCAACTGCATACAGCACCACCTTGAGATGGTCTCTTATCCTCTGTAAAAGGAAACTGAAGATACTGACTTCCCTCATACAGCTCTCCAAAATCAACTGGTGAGAAATACCAGAGAACTGTCATTACTGAAGACAAGTACGCACCTTCTCATTTTTTAAAAATGTAGAGTATTGTAAACATGCACATAAATCTCAATACATAAAAGAGAATTATTTTATAATCGGGGTATAAATAAATGGGGCACTTAAATTTATATGTTTCATGAGATATCCTGCAAGTAGGATAACAAATTTGCTTATCACGCTAAACCAGAGTATCATAGCCAACAGCATGGTGGGTTTTGTTTGGGTTTTCTTTACATCGTTTTAGAATTATGCTAGTAAGAATTTCCACCATTAACTGATAATGATATGCATGAGATCTAATAAAATATGCCATTTTGAATAAAATGGTTGATCGCATTGAAGAAAACTATCAAGTACATCTTCCAGTGAAGTTATTTAGCTAAATTATAAAGGGCAGGTAATAATCAGTGAAAGCTGCTATCAATTTCACCAGGAATTTTCTTTCAGCAAAGACATTAGGATTTGTTTAATGGGAGTTTTTGTCAGTGAATTTAATTAGATTGAAATCTGTCCTCTGCACCAGATGCAATGAGACTAAATACTAAACATTTAAAAATTAATAATACTTTTGTAATTTATGAGGCTACTTACTAGTCTAATTTAACTTGGTGAGTCCAAATGCAAGTCTTCATTCATTTATTTCGGTATGTATTCTAGTACTAAATTGTCTTGCGTAAATTATGAATCAGCTCCTTCACTTGAGATTTCCTTGTGAATTCTGAGATGCCATCAACCCATCAGGAAATCTTAGACTAAGCTTGGCTCTTTATTCCCATTTAGCTTGTGGCTGTGGAACTTCTAAAACATAAAACTACTGAAGTGTCCTAGGGTCAATTCTAATTCTAGAATTTTACATGTCACTGGGGATCTATTACAGATTTTACAGGACAGTCCCTTTTCCCTCTGGTTACATATACTGCTATACACGTTTTTAAAAGTTATCTTTTATCTGTTCTGTCCAGAAAATGACACTTCTTAGCTCACATCTCACTTTAATTCTGTTAATAAGGCTGTAAATATTCTACAGTAATTTATACCTCCTCCTGTTTAATTTGTTACAGTTTGGATCATTAAAAGACTCCTGCTAGTTAACTGTACTCTTTGTCTACCCAAGTTGCTAAGCTTGGTTCATTGTCAAACAAGTCAGCATGGCCTAGGCCAGTAATTTCCTCAGCGCGTAATTCCAAATGCAGGGTGAGTGGGCAACTGTTTGTCAGGAAAAAATTATGGATCCGATTATGATCTAATGTGGGTGTAATCTGACTGACTTTAGTGCTGCTACACACAGGAGATTCAGTCCCATTTCTCTTTTCAACAACATGAATTAAAGAAACAAAATTGCCTGGAGAACAAATAGAGAATAGATGCATTCAGCCTCTGCTGGGGAATATGTATCTTGTCAGGGATCCTGTCTAGTGCCCTGACTTACTTAAACAAATGCTTAACTGTGAGAATTCACAGTGCCTTACCACCGGCATTGCTATGCTTCCAGGAAAACCAAAATATTAGTGGAGGAGGACTTGCCTTTCCCTTATCTTTGCTCAGTTTGAATGGATGTGTGTCAGATTAAAATTCCTGGCTCTATTAGTGGCGATGCTTTATCCACACAATGTCATGAGTCAGAACTGGTTTTTACAGCTAGATGGTTTGTGGAAGTGACATTTGCATTCATTACGGAGCAACTAGGCTTGAGACTTTGGGGAACAAGAAATGCATGTAATTCTGGGTTTTGTTGGGTTAACAGAGAAGCTGACTGGCCATTTGCAGTTAGCCTGGAATAGTTCTGAACCACCATGGCCAAAGCAGCCTACCTGACACACTTCACATTGGCTTCTCTTTTGTGTCAGGGTTTGTCAGCTTTTAGAAACTTCTATATAAAGCCTTAAGTATATCTGGCCTCGGTTCTGCTTCAGGCCATTTTCTTCAGCTCCTCCTATGCTGGGTCATAGAACTCGTGTGACAGCCAGTGCTAAAGAATTCTACTCTTATGCTGTAACTTGGTAGTTAAGTAAGAATTCAGTAAGTTTAGCAGCAATCTCAATAAAGTGAGACTTCGTTTCCTCAGGAAAGGAATGACTTCATTCATTTCACCTGGTTTAGATGAATGCACAAACAATATACAGCTTGAAATTTTTTTTTGTTTGTTTCTTTTGAAATTACTTCTTGTGCTGCTCTGTTGTTTTGTTTTTGACCACCCACTCTAAAATAATCATTAAAATGATTTAGTGATAAATTTGTAAAATTGGGGTATGCTTTTAGTTCATGACAAATTGTTCTATGATTGTTGCTTAGCTCACTAGTACATCTGCAAGGAAGAAAATTATCATCCTCATTAAGGCTATTATTCAATACATAGCTGTTCTGCAAAAAGAGACAAATAGTTCCATTATAAGGCCTTAGCTCAGTTGTTTTAATAGCAGTACTGGCCACTCCTGTGAGCCCTGTGTCTGAAGGCTCCTGTGGCAACCCACATAGCTGAGGAAAGGTGTATTTTGTTTGTTGCACCTCCCACGACAATAATGGAAGAATAATGCTTTATTACAGAAAGCAACACTCGTCTATATTCTGTTCACATCACCCCGCTGTAAAAGAAAAAGATGAGGGTTTTTGCATGAAATTGTTTTTCCTACTTTATACATCCATTTTTCTTCTCCAGATACCTGGAAGCCAAGCATGCCAAGTATTTCAGAAAGGTGTCATTACAGAAGAGCCTGATTACAATGTTTCTGAAGACGAAGCAGCAGCCCTACAACAAAGAGCCCTTTGCTGATTTTCAATACATTTCTGGGCTTGTCATCTTTCCAGATGTTATGCTTACAATAATTACTCTCACATACAGATAGTGTCCTGGTGAACAAAATCAACAACGCACATCACAGCACTGAGAGGAAAGGAATATTTCCTTAACGTACTAAATGAAGTGCCTTTTTACAGGAAAAATACTGTCCTATTCACAACATTCACACAGAGTTGAGAGGGGTTCAGTACAAAAGTGTGAAACTACATTTCTGTTTTCATTCAGATCAAGAGTGTACCCTTGAAGTAAATCTCCTAATTGTCCCCATTTACTGTATTTTGTTTTGCAACACAGAGCAGCCTTGCATCACGCCAACGAGATTCCCTTGGTATAAAGCTGAATCAGAGGCACAAACTTAAAAGTGCTCCAAATAATAATGGACCAAGCTAGCGCTAGTCTGAAACAGAAGATCCAAATGCAAATAGTGCAGACAGCCTACATGTCCTAGTCAATAAGCTGCATAGAAAACACTTTTGCTGAGTTTAGACAGACTGGAGTCTGCAGCTACACCGTCAGGAGTCAGATCTAAGTTACTGTAGCTAGTTAAATTTGACAGCTTTTCCACTCAGTCTTCCCTTTAAAAGTGTGGCAGTCAAGCACAGATCACCGCTCCACACGTTAGCTACTTCAGAACATGCCTAAACCTTCACATGTGAAGAAAGCATCTCTTTACACAAGGCAATGAGTAGCTGACTGATCTAAAAAAATTATAACATCCCTGAAAAGCATCCCTGACTCTAATTGGCACACAGGATTTTCATAACTATATCGTTACGAATTCATACAAATTTCTAATTCAAGATAACTTGAAAAATGTGAAAGGTTTTCTCTAATTTAAGTCTATCTGCAAAATGAGAAAGGCTTCCTGGAGTTTACTATTGATTTCTATTTTTCGGGGGTTTTGCTTTTGACAATTGTAAACTTTGAAAAATAAGGCACCTCCAGGCTGGCCTAGGAAGATTATTGCTGCCGATTTTTTTGGTGCTCCACTTTATCATTTTTAAATTCCTTTTTTCTTTTTTTAAATCTCTCTACCATTTTTCATTTGGAAAAAAACCCCAAAAAACCCACTGGTTTTGCCCCAGTTAAGTGATCTTTAAATCACCTGTCCCCTTAGTGCTAATTAGGCTTTATATTTACAAAGATATATTTACACCCACATATCATTAGCAATATTAATTCAAATCTCGACCAGAAAATGTGTAATAGTAACATACACACCTCCACACTGGGAGCTTTGTAATAATCCAGACAGCAAGTAAATTTCTGCTAGAAAGTGCTGTTGTTCGTCAGAGTTGAGACTGATTGGAAAACTTTAATATATGTAAATTAGCCAATCTGAAAGCCTAATTCATTTCTGAGCATGTGCAGTATGCAAAACACAACAGAGGAATACAAATGTTTGTCCCAAGTGTGGGACTCAACATAGAAACAACTGAAATAGATATAACAAACTAGATCCATTGTGAATTTTCCATCAGAATTATTTTCCACTGAAA